AAAAATTGAATATCATCATCATCATCATCATCACTATTATCAAAATCACAAAGATTATTCCTATTATTTCTCATCACTGTCATTGTCATTGTTGTTCGTTTGGATTGTTGTTGTTGTTGATTTTGTGGTGATGTTTGTAATAATGAATGATCACAATCAAATGCTGATGATAATGTATCATATGATGCTGTTGTTGAACTAACTAATGGATCTGATGATGATGAATTTAAAAATGATGATGATGTTTGACCAGAATTTGTAATTCTTCTTGTATTATTAATTATAATATTAGTGGTATTACCAGTATGACCACCATCATCATCATCAATCATAATCGTACCAGATGATGGTGAATTATTATCTTTTAATAGCTGTAGCTCAAGATTATCAAGATAATCATCATCATCATCAACAACATTAGTTATTGTTGAAAGACAATCAGATTGATTTGTTATTGTTGTTGTTGTTGTTGCCGTTGTTGTTGTTGTTGTTATCACTGGTGTTGTTGTTGTTGTTGATGATGATAATGTATCCAATAGATTAACACGATCAAAAAAATTTGGATCAAATGAAACATTTTGTAATAAAATTTGATCATTCAATAATAATGGTGATGATGATGATGTTGATGATTCTAATATTAATGCTTTTTCTAAATCTACATTATTCAAACTAATTAATGAATCAGTTGAACCAGAACTTAATGAATGATTATTATCGTTGATTATTGTTGTTGTTGTTGACGTTGTTGTTGTCGCTGTTGTTGTTGTTGTTGAATTGGTCATCGAATCAAATAATAATGATTCAATTAATGCTAATCCATTTACATTATTCATATTATTATTATTATTATTATCATTATTATTAGCCGTTGTTATCGGTGTTTCTGTTGAACTTGTCATTTTTGTTGTTGTTGTTGTTGTTGTTGTTTCTATCTTTTTCTTCTTCAACAACAACAACAACAACAATCAGAATTTTTCAAATTTGACATTTTCTTTTTTGACAAACAATCGGATGATGTAATGATGCAATGATGATGATCAATATTGATTTTATGTGAAACAATTTGATGTTAATTAATTTTGTTTGTTTTTCCTGATTATTATCATATTGCTTGTATGTTGAACACGGTTATTATTAATGGCCATATTAAATTGCACACTATTTATAGAAAGCAGAGAAAGAAGAAAAATTTAAAAATTTATTAATTGAAAAATCCCGGGGATAAAAATGATAAACAAAACACCCACACACACACCTTTTATCAATGGCTTGATAAATGGTAAACATTTTTTGGATGTTTTGGTTTTTTTCGGTTTTGCAGGTAGGTATATAAAATACGTCGACGTCGATGATGATGATGATTCGGTAGCGTTCGGTTTCACAATGATGATGATGATGATGATAGCGATAGCGGGGGCGTTGGCATTCGGATTCTGTATCCTAGGATGTTTATATACTATGTATTTTGCTGGTCTGTCTCTCTGTGTATGTATGTATCATACACACAGAAAAGAAGAATATTCTACATGGATAACTGGGTTTAAGAAAAAAACCGTTGCCCAACTTTAAAAGAAGATTTCTTCTTCTTATATTCTTAATAAAGAAAAATCAAAGAATTTTCTTCGTTTTCTTTTTCTTGAACACAAGAATTGAACCCAAAAAAGACAGAGGCCATTCCCCTTCGTTTCTCTTACTGTGTTATCATCATCATTATTTTCATTATTCTTACCCTGTTGTAGTTTTTTCAACTAACTAACAAACAGAAATTCTCTATTTGTCATACTCCGTGTCCTAAATTTTTTCGCCATCAATTTCATCATTCTAACCAGAAGAATCAAGCGAAGAATTCTTTTTTTTCATATATACACATCTGATGTTGTTGTTGATGTTGTTGATGGTTGTTTCCATGGGAAATCCTCGTCGAAAAAAAACGAAGAAAATGAACAAGAAAAGTCGATAGCCGATTCTTCATTCATTCATTCATTCATTCATATTATTATTATTATCACGGAAGAGAATTTGTTACAATTACATAGGCATAGACATTGGCAATAGGAAAAGTATTTGAAAATCGTATAGAATCCACAAACACACACACACACATACAAACACTCATGTATAAATCAAGAAAGATGTTGAATATATAGATGATGCTTATGAACCGTAAACCGCCCATACGTATCCATGGATAAAACACCCCCTTCAAAACTTAGTAAGAAACACACGCACATACACAGAGAATAAATTCCTTACGATTCCAAATTCTGAATATTGTTGTTGTCCAGAAAGTATTTGCCGTTTTGTTGTTTTCCATCATCATCCTTTTTTTTGATAACATAACATCCATTTTGTGGAAATATCCCATCTTTTTGCCTATAGATTCCTTTTGTTTTGTTTTTCGTTTTTTTGGATCAAATTTTCTATTAATTTAGTTTAGTTTCTATTTCCACCCCCTTCATATTATGATGATCATCCGGGAACCAAAAAAAAAAGTGGTGGCAATGTCTTCTGAATGAAAAATATTTTTCGTGGTATCCTCCTCATCATCATCAACCTTTCTTTCTTCTTGTCAATCAATACAAATATACCACCTTTTCTTCGGCTTTCCCTCTCCCTCTCTTTCTATGTGTGTTTGAATTTGGTTTGATGTTGATGTTAAAGGAGAAAAAACTGCGCGCTCATTTCGGTCATTCAACCCAAATAATGATGAAAAAAAATCACCAGGAAAAATGGCTTCAGCTTTTTTTTTGTATCAAGAAACAAGAATAACCAACCAGAAAAAAAAATTTCGCGATGTGTGTGAACACCACCACCACCACCACCACTACCACTAAATATCATATAGTTTTTGACTACCATGTTTTATCTTTTTTTTCCTGATGAATATTCCACCATTTTTATTTTTATTTTTCAATTCAAATCAGAGATTTTCACCCGTTTGTTTTGCTGGTCCCAAAATCAATCCCAAAAAATAATAATAATAATAATACCATCATAACTTATCTATAGAGCTTTGCACAAAATTAATATTTTACAAACCTGGTCAAAAACTAAGTAAGGGCACGTTGACCTCTAAAAAAAAATTTTCAAATTGAAAATGAAATCTTTTTTCTGTTGTTGTTGTCCATTTTGATTACCTATTTCTACTACAACTACTATTGAATATTTGCTACTACTACTACTACTACGGTGTAAATAGTGAAAAGGAAAATCCCACATCAGTTGGTTGATGGCCACCATCCGCACATAGCACCAATCATTATTTTTGTTTGTTTTTTTTTTAAAAACGAAAAATTTTCAAGAAAATAAAGGGAAAAGAGAAAGCCAGATTTTCAACAATGAAGATTGAAAACCCAAGTCCATGGTCAATGACATTCAGGGTGGTTATATTGGTGAAGACCCTATTTGGTCCATTTTGAAATTACCCTTGAATCTATGAAGTATATACAAAGCAGACTGGACAGATGTGTCAATGACACCTACTGGATAGAAAAAAACGTGCTGCTGTTGGTTTTTTTTGTTGTTCAGAGAAAAAAAAATAGCGAAAGCGAAAGCCATTGAATGATGGACCAGAAAAAAAAATCAAACCGAAATAAAAAGTCAAAGACCTAGGGAACCTAGGAAGGAAAGATCGATAAAATTCAAAAGTTCAAAAACCTTTGAATTGATCCAATATGTGCAATATATGAAAACAGAAGGCAGACAACAAAACAAAAAACAAAATGTAGCAATTTTTTTTCATCATCCTCCAGTACCTCCACACATTAAATAAATACGGAAATAAATTATTATGTTATTTTTTTATTATTTAAAAATGTGAAAATTTTTTTTCCAATTCACAAAGTAAAAACAATAATCAAATTGAATGGATGTGAAAAATATGCATAATGATGATGAGAAAAAAATATAAATGAAAATCAAATTACAAGTGTTGATGAAATGAAATTATTATTATTATTTGAATTTTAGTTTTATAAAGCTAGTAAGTGTTTTTATGAACAAACAAGTTATAGTTTTTTTTCCAGCAAAAAAAGAAAAAAAAAATTCATAATAATTTTACAAATAAATATTCCAACGAATAAGAATGAAAATTATTGACAAACAAAATGTGCGCAATGATTAAAAAAAAAATTGTAGTTTTTAATTAATTAATGTTTGTCATTTTAAAAAAATTGATTAATTATCGTTGATTTGTATTTTATATATGTTTGACAATTCGTTTGTTACAAAAAAAATCTTTATTTTGTGTAGGTGTAGGTTTATATTATGATAATTCTATATGGGGGGAAAGAAAAAATAGAACCGCCAAATGATGATGGTATTTTACAAATGGAATTGTGTTCACATTTCACATAGCCTATTTTGTGGTAATTTTGTTTATCGTTTTATCATCAATCAACAACATCAAAAACAACAAAAAAAAAATTATTAATGAATAAAAATTTTTTTCATAATTATGAATTTATATTGCAAAGAAGAAGAAAAAATTTAAACTAAAATAATTGAAAAAAAAAGAATTCAGAAGTAAATTGAATCAATCAATCAACGAAATGATAATTACAACAGATGTTATTTAAGAAATTTTCTTGAAAAAAAATGGGTCCACAGTGTGTTGATATAACGATGAAATTTTAAAGATGTGACATGAGTATTCTCCCAATGATAATGATGATTATGATGACAAGTTTTTTTTTCTCTACATACTAAAAGGCATAATTGTCACTGTCACTGCTTGTGTATGATAGGAGGAAAAAAATTTATCATCAGGTGAAAATAAATAAATTACTGGAAAAAATTGGAGAATTTTTTAAATGTTGTTGTTGTTGTTGTTTTGATAACATCGGGATAATTTTCATGTCAAACATTCTACATCAGGATATCTTATCGTTACATTAAAAAAAACATTCGGATGGATAAATAATGAAACTTTGTTTTGATACAGATAAGTTTTTTTTGAGGTCTTGACTTGTCTTTCGGTGTAAGTTGATTGATATTATTTTTTGGTCATAAATTAATAGATCAAAATCCTTGTTGATAATCTTCATCATCATCGTCATCATCTTCGGATGGTGATTCATCCGAATCATCATCAAAAACGATCCGTTTACGTTTCTTTTTCGTGGTAGATGATTTTGTGCTTGATTTTTTATTGCTATATCGAAGAAAAATGAAAATGAAAATGAATTTTCAAAATCAACTGGCTTGCAAACTTACCTGTTATTCATTTTGGCAGTCTGTATACGTTGTTGCTGTTTGTTTGGTGTTTGATCGGCAGATATAATCATATTCGGATTATCAACGCAATTGGTCACTGCTGCGATTTCTTCATTACCTTGTGGTTGAGATTCATCAGGTGTACGGTTTCTTTGATCAACATTTGCTGTGGATGGAGCAACCGCTTGTACTGTTGCTGCTGAAGATTTTGATGAACCAAATTGAAAAAATTTCGCCAATAATGTTGGCTTAAAATTTGGATCAAAATTATTTAACGAAACTTGTCGAAATCGTTTCCATTCATTTAATAATTGTTTTTCAACACCTTGAAGATCATTACTTAATAATAATGATTCTTGTATATCAATATTTGGTTTTGCCAAATTAAACAATTCTCTCAACTGTAAACTTTCAATCTAATAGAAAAAATAAATGAAATTAATTAACATACACAGTATATAGATATAATTAAACAAAGTTTACCTGTCGACGATGAATAGGTTTTTCCCATGTTTTTGCATCATTCGTACTATAATCATTAATTTTTTCATCTTTTAACAGATAAAATTCTTTCAACATTGTTCGTAATAATGTTTGTAGATAAATTGTTCGTAATGATCGTATTAGATTATTTAAACGTTCATTATGACGATCAGTTAATAATAGATCAAAATTGACATGAATATTGCTTTCATATTTTTTAAATTGCTCTTCATTCTCCAAATCAATATCTTCAATATCAATGATATTCGATTGTTGTTGTTGTTGTTGAGATTGTTGATATTGATTTATCATCATTTGTTGTTGTTGATTATCAGGGTAAATCATTTGCGCATTGCCCATATGATCATATATAATTTGAGGTTGTTGATTCATTAATCCTTGTAACAATGGATCTAAAGATGATGGATTATTAAATTGTTGAGATACAATCGGATTCTGTTGTTGTTGTTGTTCAGATGATAATGATTGCTGAGATCGTTCGACTATGAAAATTTCTTTGAATAATTGAGTAACATGTGTTGAATTGATTGAACTTGTACATTCTAATTGATTTAAAATGTAAAGTATTTCATCGTATACAGTGTATGGAAAAAATAATATACTTTCGACAAAAAATTCAATATCAATCAATTCTGGTTTTGTATTTGATGTTGTTGATGATGATGATGTTTCAGGTGTTGATGATTGACTATTTGTTTGATTTGTTGTTTTTACAACAAATTCCGATGTATCAAAATGTCTAAGTAATGATGTGATGAATCCACGTCTTGATTGACGATTTGTACAGATAACCTGATATAATGTACTCAAACGAGAACAAATTTCTTTTGAAGTAGTTGGCATTGAGATCAAAGTCTGTCCATCTTGTGTGGCAGTCGATGTTGATGATTTTTCCATAAAAATTCTAAAACCGGAACAATTTAATTTTTTACAAAATAATGCAGATAATTGTACAGCTTCTTTGGCTTTCATGGCAACATAGCCATGATATTTTCGTTCAATATCATGAAGAACATGATCAGCACGAACACGTATCTGATAATCATCATCACATGTCATGGCAACCAAATGCGGAACAAGCTGAAGTGGATGTACATGACCACCAGAATGTATAACATGTATTACATTACAAGCAACACGACGAATCGATAGATTTGGATTCAATGCATTGATTAATATTGAACTTAGATATTTTTGTATAATCTGTGATTGTGTTGAACCTGAATCATCTTCAGATGATTGCATTGATTTTAATGATTCACGTGCCCATTCAATAGTCTTTACAGCATTCTCATCCAATTCAATCGATTCGGATAGATAATTACGAAAATTATTCAATACCTGAATACAAAACATTTCATCATTTTTACGACTTATCGATTGAATGCTAACATTTTCCGAGTATTCATTTCGTAATATTCTTGTATAGATTTCAATCACATTTGGTAATAGACATATTTTTGGATCAGATTCAATAATGAAACCAAGTGCAACAATTGATTTACATTTAATATCAACATCATATGGAGAAAGAATCAATTCGATGAAAGTATCTCTTACACGATCCTTATATTCATAGATATGGAACGAGAAAAATTTGGCAAAAAGACCACAAGTATAAATGGCACGTAATAATTTCGGTTTGACAAGCGGTTCATTATGACCTTCATATAATAGATTTTTATATTGATAGAGTATTTGTTGAAATTTACAGAATAATTCCACAGCCAATTTTGTATTCTTCGTATGATATTTGATTAGAACAGATAAACATTTTACTGAACATTGTATAACATTTGCCGTAGATTGTAGAATATTTTTAGTCAAATCTTCTTCAATACGTGTCACCAGATATGGTGATGGATTATTGATATGTGGTAATACAAGTTCAATAGTCTGTATGACTTTCATACGTAAAGAAATTTCAATCAATGTTTCACATGGTAATGACATTAATGATTGTAATGTATCACAATGTTTAACCATCAATTCTGGACAACATTGTGACATCATAACAACACATTGTACGGCACTTAATTGAGTTTTCTTTGACGATTGTGGCATATCATCGATTAAAACATCGTTCATGATTGAATCACAAATCTGTTGTGCGATTGGCATCGTATCAGATTTAATAAGCTGATCGAATAATGATTGCATCGATTCCATTGATGCATTATCATTGATCATATTGGCAATTACATGTAATAAGGAATATACTTTGTATTTGATCGGTGTTCCTTGTGTAGTATTCGTAAACCAAAGATCACGACATGTATCGACAACAAGTCTTCGTATACCTTCACCATCATCATTAATTCTTCGTACAATTTTTACGGCCATTTCACCACATTTTTCATATTCAGGAAATTCAATACAAAAATCTCGAAGTATTTTGATCACACGTTTACGTACAGAAATACCCGTATCAAGAATACGATCACCAATCAAATCGGAATAACGTTGAACAAGATTCTGATCTTTTGATTGTAATACAAATCTACCAATTAGATCAACAGTTGCTTCACGTACCGATGTAGAAGGATCAAGTAATGCTGAACGCATTGCATTTTGTAAATCTGTACGAGATAAAAGCTGTGTAGCACGATCAATTGTACTTGAACTAAGTATATTCGATAAACATTTCATTGCACGGCTTCTTTGCGTTGTGTTCGATGTATTCGATAATGATGCTGTCACATGTGAGATCGATATGTCAAACAAACGAGAATTTGTTGAAAAATGAACAAATTCCATATACTGTATACATAAGGCGGCAGTAGAAATGGCAACAACCGAACCAGAATCTTCATTAAATTTTGATTGATTCAATTTTTGTAGGAAATCTTGTTCATTTCGTTCATTTTCAATAAAATATTTATCCTTCAACCAAATCGAACCAAGACAAAGTTTTTCACGATATAATTTTTCCGAATTAAAATAATCGATAAGATAATTCCAAACTTTGGCAACAAAATTTTCATCTTTTTGTTTCTGTTCTGATTCCTGTTGCTGTTGTTGTTTATCACGATGTTTATTCTTTTTTACTGGTTTAACATCTGGTTCTTGTTCGATAGTGGAAAATGTTGTCTGCAATTCTTTAATCGTTTCATCTTTTTCGGCTAAAAATTGTGCAAATTTTGAACAAACAATAGATAGATATTCAATGGCTAATAAACGTGCCGCTAATGATGATGTTTGTGTTGATTTATTTTGCTGTTGTGGTGCAAGATATGAAATCAACAATTTAATTATAACCTGTACAATCAATATTGATGCCGTTTGATGTGGTGAATGTATTTGATCCAATAGATCATTTAATAATGATTCAAATATTAGTTTAAAATCAACATCAGAATTACTACCCGATGATGAATGTTGATGACATTTACGAAGAAAATGTGAAAGAAAACTACTAATTATTTGTAAAGCGGCTGTCGATTGTTTTGTTAATGAATCACGTGTGTGCGTTATTGTTGTATCCGGTTGAAAGAATGCATTTGTCAAACGTATTAACATTTGTGTTAATACCGAATCTTTTCGATGTGATTTTTTTGTTGGTATTTTTGATAAAGAATTTAATAGCTCTTCAAGTATCGATATACGATGTTTTTGATATTCTTCAAATACATGACATAATATTTCGATCGAAACAAATTGCATTTCGGCCGTATTTTGTAACAAAAACAAGGCACTCATTGAGATCCGTGTTAATGATAATATCAATGTATCTGTTAATGAACCTTTTGTTCGAAGATTAATAAATTCAAATATTAATTGTAATAATTGTGTCCATCTTGTTACATGTCGTTTTGATACACCAAAATGTTGATATTGATGATGATGATGATGATTTGATGATGATTTTGATTTTGATTTTGGAGTCGATGTTGTTACATGTGTTGCAGAACTTAAATTATTGGAAAGAAAATCAACAATTACTTCGATCAATTCTTCCAAACTAATCAATTGTGTTTGATCAGAACCAGATGATGATGATGATTGATTCTGTGTTGTTGATGTCATTAAATGTAATGCTGATTGTGATGCATTACAACATAATTCCCAATAATGTTGACGTTCATTTTCATTATCATCATCATTATTATCCGAATTATTGTTCATTTGAGATGAATCATTATGATGATGTGACATTGCTGCAACTGATGATTTACTTTTATACCTTGTTAACCAAATATTCAATTGATTTGATAATATTGTTAAAAATAGTATCAATTTTTTTCGTTCAATTTCACCAATACGATTTGTTTGTTTTAATTTGGCCGATAAAATCATTATTTCTTTTAATTGATCCGAATCGATTGATACGTTGAATGACATTCCATTCATATGATTTGCTGCTGCTGCTGTTGCAGTAGCCATATCATATCCGGATTTAATACGTTTATTATTATTACGATTATGATGTTGTTGATGATATTTTTGGTATTGATTATTATTATTATTTTCATATCCAGAATTATAATAACCATCATTATCACTTGTATCATTATAACCATGACCCATACCAGCGACTGTATTGGATCCATCACCGGCATATAATTCATTATAATAATCATTAAAATCATTGCACGATGTTTGTAAAATTTGATCAATTATTTGTTCAAATCTTACAACAATATCAACAGATTTTGATAAAAATATCGCATCATTATCAATATCAGTAAATTGATATTTAACTGAACGTATCTGTGGTTTGACCAATTCTACTTTAGGCCTTGCCGGTGGTTGTTGATATAATGGTTTACGATTATAATTTATTATTGTCGATGATGATGTAGTGGAAGATTTACGTTGAGGCATTGATGAAGATGATGATGTTGCAGAAGCAGCAGCAACAACAGTACCAGCAGGTAGCTGCCAATCTTTATCATCAATCGATGATGATGATGATGATTGTGTACCGAATTCATTCTTAATATTAGCCGCTGCAGTCATTGTTCGTGTCATTGGCATTTGATTCATTGAATTCGAATTATTATTATTATATAATGGTTCAGTTGATATTGAATCATTGGTCATTATCATTGCCTGAGAATTATTATTTGGTATTATCTGTTGTTGATTATAAAATGGTTGTTGTTGTTGTTGCGTAGACTGTTGTTGTTGTTGTTGATTTGTTCCAAATGTTGCAGCATTCGCTTGTATAGCTTTGGCTGCTGCTTCTCTTTGTCGACTTTTTACACGTTCACCAAGTGATGAATAATTTTGATTCTGATTTGGTAATTGTTGTTGCTGATATTGTTGTTGTTGTTGTTGTTGTGTAAGATGAGAATGATGATCGGATTCTATTTTGATTGTTTGATTTACATCATGATGTTGTTGTTGATTATTAATATTGGTTCTTTGTTGCTGTTGTTGATTATGATTCATTTGTGAATATTCATTATTATTATTATTATTATTTGACATTAAATGATGTCCATGATTGCTGCCGGTCAATACTGAAGAATGATGTTGTTGTTGTTGTTGATGAGAATGTGGATGATGATGTGAATATAGATCATTCGATGTTGATGAATTGGTTGATGTCGTTGACATTGTTGGATCACAGCATTCATCATTAATAAGATCATTCATTAGATTTTGATGTAAATCAGGCATATGACGAACATCAATTGATGGTTCAATTGAATGTAAATCATTAACTATTGAATTATTTAAATCATGATTAGTTGTCGTAATAGTAGCTGCTGCTGTGCCGGTCGTTGTAGACGATGTTGTTGCTACTGCTGCTGCTGCTGATGAAGATGATGATGATGATGGATAAATAGATGATACATTTCCAGCAATGACAGGTGTCGTAGCTGATGATGATGGTGTGGATGATGTTGATGATGCGGCTGTAGATGTATTAAGAAAACAACCACGTGCTAATAATTCATGTAATAATTGTGATGGTTGTTGAGGATGACTTGGACTTGGTCCACCACCACCACCAGCCGCTGTTTGTTGATCCGATGATGGTGATTGCTGTGTATTTGAATTACCGGATCCCGGTGATGTTGATGAATTATGATGTGAATGATTAAGATGAAATGTAACATCGTTTAAATGTTGTTTGGCCATAAATAATGCCTGTTGTATTTGTGGCACCATTGTTAAATCATTGAGCAATGTATTTCTTGCCGTTGTCATATTAACATTTAAACCGGTAATCAATGAACGTGTGTGCGACGATTTATCCTGTACGGCTGTTGGTAATGGAAGTTCAGTGAGTACATCGCATAATGATTGACAGCAGGCTAATGTAACGGATGAAGCCATGTTTGCATCGAATGAACCAAACATTTGTTGTAATGGTAAACCGGCTCCAGTATTACCACTTGTATTGGGACCTCCACCACCTGGACCAGGACCAGGTCCAGTTCCAGCTGTTACAGAAGCAGTAGCGGTAAGACCATTTCCGTGTCCAACAGTGGATGGTCCACCTATTAGGCTATTAATTGGATGATTCATTTTTTTTTCTTTTTTCAAAGTGAAATGGAACACGAATTGATTCAATGATGATGATTATGAAATTTAAGAAATAATGATGAAATTCGACAGATAAACAATCTAAGAAAAAATTGATGATAATAGTATCGATAGTATCGATTAAGAATCCAAATTAAAAATGAGATTCAGATAATGAATAGGGTGGGTTAGTGTGAATTTGTTGGTTGATGATTCGAAAGAAAAAACGATTTGAAGAATCCAGTTGATGAATTCAGTATTGCGACATAATTTTTTTTTATCGTTGATAACTAAAACAAAACATTTTAGAGGGAAAAAAATCAATCAATAATTGCATAATAGTTTTTTGATTGTTCATACCTTTACAAAACGTAAAAAACAAAAATTTCGCGGCCTAATCAAGCAGCCTGAATTTTGGCTGGCCTGTGTTCAGTGCACACCTGACACGGGCTTTTGTTTTTGTTCTTTCACACACACAAACTATTTCAAAAATAAAATTTCAAAAATAAAATAAATTCAATGAAAAAAGTATTCATTAGTTGTGTCATCTTATGATAAGATAATAAACAAGTTAAAATAAAACAGAAATCCCATCCATTGAATTCTGTTGATTAAAAATTTTTTGAAGTAAATAAAAAAAAATTATCTCCAAAATCATGTTATCATTTTAGACACAACAAATAGACACACAACAGACACACACACCGAAAACAAACAAAGTGTTGGATGATCATTGATTAATTGTGTAATAAGAATCGTTGATTTATTAAAATTTTTTTTTTCAAGAATTTGAAGATCCTGGGCGCTTGTTTGATGTATTTGTGATGATAATCAATCAAGATAAACAAAACGGAAAAAACAAAAAACAAAAACAAACAAATAAATTTCAATTTAGGATTCACAAATATTGTACCATTATTTATTTATTTATTTATGGATTTTATTATTATTATTAAAATTGAATGTTGAAAATTGAAAATTGAATTGAATGTTGTTGTTGATGATGGACTGACTGATTGTTGTTGTTGTTGTAGTGGTGTGGCTATATTGGATATTAGCAAAAAGCAAAAAACAAAATTAGATAATAGATCTTAAGCATCAATAATAATGTTGATGGTATATCTCCCTCGCTCGTTTTTTTTATTCATCATTATCATCATCACCAACATCAACAACATCATCAAACATCGACATCAACATCAACCAATTTTTTTTTTTTTTTTTTTTTTTTGGTTCTCTCCGTTTGGATTGACTTTTTTTTTTTTCCCGTTCGGGAGATTTGGCGAT